ATACTTCTTTCGACAATGAAGTTCTCAATCATGTCTCTCGGCCTCATGGCTGTCTCTGCTCTGGCAGCACCCATGCCATCTCAGATCGCACCCAAGCGTGCCGGTCTCACCAAGCGCGCTGCATCTCTGGAAGATGTCGCGACCACCGGTTTCGCCACGCAGAACGGAGGTACCTCTGGAGGAAAGGGAGGCAAGACCATCGAGGTTGGCTCTCTCAGCGACTTGGAAGCTGCCGTCAAGGGCGACGACGCCGCCATCGTTCTCATCACCAGCCCCATCAAGGGCAGCGGCGAGAACGTCAAGATCGGCAGCAACAAGTCCGTCATCGGCAAAGACTCCTCCGTCGTCCTAACCGACTTCACCCTCACCGTCAAGGCCGTCAAGAACGTCATCCTCCGCAACTTCGCCATGGAGAAGGTCGTCGGCGGCGACGCCATCGCCATCCAGAAAGCGCAGAACGTCTGGGTCGACCACGTAGACCTCTCCTCCGACCTCGACCACGACAAGGACTACTACGACGGTCTCCTCGACGTAACCCACGCCGCCGACTACGTCACCATCTCCAACAGCTTCATGCACGACCACTGGAAGTGCTCTCTGGTCGGCCACTCCGACAGCAACGGCAGCGAAGACAAGGGCCACCTCACCGTCACCTACAACAACAACTACTGGAAGAACATCAACTCGCGCGGCCCGTCTTTCCGCTTCGGCACCGGTCACCTCTACAACAACTACTACGAGAATGTCAGCGACGGCATCAACACCCGCCAGGGCGCTGAGCTCCTCGTCCAGAACAACGTTTGGTCTGGTGCTAAGAAGGCGCTTTACAGCAAGGATGGTGGCAAGGCTGTTGCTGAGGGCAACGACTTTGGTGACAGCGAGAACACGGCTGATAAGGGTTCTTTGACCAAGATGCCTTATGAGACTAAGGAGATGCTTGAGGCCGGTGCTGTTAAGGCTGCTGTTGTTGGTACTGCGGGTGTTACGCTTAAGTTCTAAGCGTGGGGTATGCTTACTATATGACATCACCCTCATGATTGGATTCAAGTAAGGTATGGAAGAAGAAGGGGATTTTGAAGACTTCGATTTGTAAATACTTTGGTCGGTCGACCTTTTCTTGTATATATGGACGCTGTGCGGACTGTTTTGAGCAATGAAAAGGACGACTTTTTGTTCTATCTTTATTCGTACGGATTTTTGCTTTGGGGTGCTTACTATCATTGCTTTGTGAATTTGTCTTCCTCTAGATGCCCCCCACGCCGCTACGCATCCTTGGCGGGAGTATAAAGTCCCTCTCTTCTTCGTACATGCTCTCTTCCTTCCACCAACAACTTCTCCATTCTCATTTTACCAAAATAGCAGTTTGAGCAGTACATGATCTTCTGCTGTCGGACTCAAAACATAGCTGACGAGGTTCTTATGTCTCTTCTCTTTTCCAAAAACATTCCAAGACACCTACATGTAGCAAAGACGATCGAGACAGCTATATGTCTTGCGACGGACCTCATGAGCGAGAGCTATACATGATTCTCTCTTCGCGCTTTTTCTGTCTTCTTTACAGACTTCCCTCTTTCACTAAAACCAAAAAGGAAAAAGATACCGCCGATGGCCTTTCTCCGCGCCAAAACTCATGAAGATCACATGTGTGAGACGCGACAAAGAAAATATACTATCACTATATTATGTTGGGCCAGTCTCTGAAAATGCTCTTCAACCATGTCATGACCAGCCGGCCGCTCCACGGAACGCATATAAATTCCACTCTTCTCCCCATTCTTCTCTCTTCTTCACATTCATATCTCTTCTTGAGATCAAATATCCAAGCGATGCTGCCCATGGCAGCTCTCCTCTCCAAAAGTTGTCGTCCACCTGTACATGTGCAAGGCGCGACAAAAGCCTTCTCAATCACGACATCATGTTGAACCAGTCTTCCGAACCCGACAGTGAAGGTCGCGATGGCCCGCCTCGCGCTCTGCGGGTACCACATATATAACTACATCTCCCGCTCTAATTTCTGTGCTCTTTGAACATCCGCCTCTTCAATGCAGGCTATACCAAAAGATAAGGTCAAGGTCTTGATGGCTTTCTTCCTTCTTTGAAAAACGCAGGAGATCATCGGATGTGCAAGACGCCACTAAAAAGGCACAGATGTCCATGTTATGCCGAGCCAGTCTCTCAAAAACTCTAACGATGTTCTCTATGGTCAGCCTGGAGATTCGCGAGTGTCGCATATGAAAGATGCCCCTCTTCTCAACCTTCCCTCTTCTTTGCATACGCGTCTCTCGGTCTTGGGAACCAAAAGTCCAATACAAGGGCGCGATGGGTGTCTCTGCTTTTCGAAAAATCACCACGACAAAGACATGTGCGAGGTTCGACAGAAAACCTGTTTGGAGGGAGTATGTCGAGCCCGTCTTCCAAATTGCACAGCATTGTTGTTCATGAACAGGTTAGACTAGCGCCTTGGACGCGGCATATATAAACCCGCCTCTTCTCGTCCACCTTCCTTCTTCTCATCACACAAACCTGCCTTCATGTTCTCCAAAATTTGACTACTTCTCTCACATGTGGTTTTCATCCGCTCCAGATTTCACAAAGTATCTGTGGACTGTGTGATGTGCTAGACGCGATCGAAAGCAACGAGGCGCAGTATTATGTCGAGCCTGTCTACCAAAACATCAACAAAATTGGCTATGTGCGCTCTTATCCTCCCCGCGCGCACGATCCATAATATCTCCGCCTTCTCTTTTCCGATCTCTCATCACATACACTCTTCTCCATGTCAAAATCCAGAGAACTCATACGAGAAACTCATGTTCTCCTCCTGTCTTCTTCTCAAAACATTCTTCGTGTGGATACATGTGCTCGTCTCACCACAGAACTGTCGCAATTTCATTATATGCTGTGCGGCCTCTGCTCGACACAAACAACAGCATCAAAAACCACATGACGACTTCCTGGCTCATCGCGAGCGACACATAAAAGCGTCGCCTTCCCATGTGTCTTTCTTCTTCTTTACACCCCTCTTCATCATTTTCAAAATGTGAAATGGACAGGGTCCATGTTCCTCTTCTCTGCTCCCGAAAACTTTGCAACGCGCATACATGTGTGCGAGTCTTGCGACAAACTTTCAGCAAAATGCGGCTATGTTGAGCGCCTTCCGCTAGCCACAAAATCGACGGCCAACGAAGACATGGCGGCGAGCCAGCCAGCTGCGAGCGGGCTATAAAAGTCTCGCTTTCTTGCGTACCTGATCTTTCGTCGCACGCACTCCATCGTTCCAAAACCAAACCGTTGGGTAGACATGGGCATGTCCTCCTCTTCTCTGCTTCCAAAAAGGCAGTAATAAGCACGTCATGTGTGTGCGTCTCCTCGCAAAAGGCCATACCCCTCCGCCATGACGATCGCTTTCTGCGGGACACGAAAATCAAGCGCAGTAGCTGCATGGCGTTTCGCTGACTGGCCGCGAGCGATATATAAAAGACTCATCCTGCTGTACCTTCCCTCCTCACATCCACACTTCTTCTTTTCAAAATGTAAAGATAAAGAAATCATGTTCTCCGCCTCTCTCCTCCAAAAGAAAAGAGAACGTCCGTCATGTGCGAGACCAGCCAGAATTTCGTAAATAACCGCTTCATGTCGAGTGCGTCTGCTCTTCGAAAGGCCTGCGATACATGCATCATGGCGACTCTTGACCTTGCTGGGAATACGATGTATAAAAGCCTCGCCTTCTCCTGGTGTATCAGCTCTCCTCACATACACACTTCTTCTTTCCAAAAACCAAAACAGCAGACGCTGTTGTTCATGTCTTCCTCCTCTCTCCTCCAAAACTCGTACAAATCCGGGACATGTGCGAGACCACCAAATAGATCCCCGCGATGTGCCGATGTCGAGCACTTCCGGCCGTCAAAAATCCTACAATACTCTTGCATGTCGGCTTTCCAGCCTAGCACGAGCGACATATAAAACCTCCTCTTCTCGCTGTCTACCTTCTCTCTCTTATCCCACACTCCATCCACGGAGTACCAAAACAGGCAGAGCAGCCTCGCATGGTCTGCTTCTCTTCTCCAAAATCCACTAGCACCACATCGATGTGAAAGACTCCTCGCTCCTTTCCCAAAAACATCATTGTGGCCTAGAATGTCCGCCGCGAACTTGAGCCATTCATCAAACATGATCGCCAAAACTCACACACATTTCGGCCCATGTGCTGTCTGTCTTTCGCCTCTTCACTTCAAAACTCGTACTCAAACAGTACATGTTGCCAGCATTCTGCCGATTTCCAAAATTACTCGACGTCATCCGCAGGGTGGAGACAACAAATCCGCATTATAAAAACACACACCGATAACTATCAAATGTCTTTGTCTCGTCTCAAAATATACGACACCGCGTTTATGACGCTTCTCTCGCTGGGCAAGAACAAGAACGGAGAAGGCCCACACCAAATGAACACAGCAAAACGCGATTCTGCTTCAGCTCATGACCAACCTGCCGTTTTTGCTGCTTCATTCATATCCACTATAATACGCCGCTCAAAACTTACCACGACATCTACATGGCGAGAAGAGAGAAGATAAGCGCTTGTTGGAGGGGGTATTGAGGAACACATGGCGTTTCTTTATATGATGACACAGAGAAGGCATGTCAATGTAGTCTGCACAGCCGATCATCGAGTGATGCAGTAGAAGCGGTATAGCAATGTAGTCATCACACATCACCATCCTATCGCGTAGCAGACACACCATCACATCGTAACCCACAAAAACATCCACAAAACCAATGAATCATAGGGGGTATTCCATTCACACCTCTCAGTGTCTCACAGACAAGCTATGTACCTCTCAGTAGCATTCCCATTCCATCTCATTCCAAAACAATACACATTACAGGAACAACTAAGGACGTCCCTTTTTCGGCGCCAAAAACTCCACGCTGGATTGACATAACAACCGTGATGAAAAGCAGACCCTACAGAAGCCTCGCACGTACGATGGACGCGCTTACGGCTCCATGAAACCGTTACCCTTGAGCTTGCACTCTGTCTCCAGCTCGAAACTCTTCTCAAATGCGCGGATGCGGTTGTCGTTGTCTGCGACGCGGACGCGTTGGATTGGGGGGCTGAGCTTGGTTGTGACCTTCATGTTGGGCTTGGGGAGGGCGCGCTTTCCGTCGGCGTAGCGGGCGCCGTTGACGCACTTGCCGTTGTTGCTCCACTGTGCGTCCGCGGCGGCCTTCCATAGGGCGGTGATGTCGACGGTCATCTCCGGGGTGAAGTAGAGACGGCAGTCGGCCTCCTCGTATTGGAACTGGAGGGAGACACCGGACGTGTCGTTGGCGCGGAGGCCATCGCGGGTGTTGACGGCTCCGCCTCCACCGACGCTGCGGGCGTAGACAAGGTCGCTGTAGTAGTCTTCCCTCAAGATGGAGGAGTTGAGGGCAGGGTCGAACCGGACAGCGTACTGGACGGTCTGCTGGATGTAGCCGAAAGCGAAGTTGTTGACGCCCTTGACACCGCCGATGGCCTGGATGGGGTTCTTGTTGCTGCGGCCACCCATCGCGATGGTCTTGACACCGCCTTGTTGCTTCATCAACTCACTGAATATAGTGCAGGTTGAGGCACAGTAGCCGTCGGTCACGATGACGATGTTCTCGGGTGCGAACTTTGGTGGTCCGGTAACGCCCGACAAGGGTCCGTAGCCAGTGACATTAATGCCACCAGATACGTAGGGAACGTATACATCAGAAAGGTTCCATCGAGCCTCCGTGGTGTAAAACTCTCCATGAACCTCTTTAGGACCAATCTTCTCGTCCCAGGAGGAGAACGGAGTACCATCGGCCTTCATGTCCATGTGGTAGTCGAAGTAAGAAGACTGGGCAAAACTGATCGTATTGTTGTTGCCGAGCTCCCTGGGGAATTGGCTTGCAAACTTGCTGAGAGACTGTCCGACGAGGTCCATGGCCTGATGCGCCCTCCAGCGGTTAGTACCGAGAGGCTCGACGTCAGGGAACAACTGCTTGAACATGTCATAGCCTTGGAGAATGGTACCACCACCGTTGGCTTGGAGATCGATGATGAGCTTAGTCTTTCCGTCCGCGAGAGCCTTTGGGATGAAGTTCTGGGTGAGCTCCTGGAACGGCACCTCTGCGCGGACGTTTCCGACAAAGTTGGGCACCTGCAATACCGCAACGTCTTCATAACCAGCAGCGTCGATGTAAAAGCCATTGATGAGACCCTGAGGGCCAGCGGCGACAGGAGCAGGGAAACCAGGAGTAGCGGCACCAGCAGCGAGGGTAGATACATCTTCCTCCGACTGGACACGAGTATCGGCAAACGAAGTACCTGCGGAATCGAAGCTGAACCACTTCCTAGCCAGGTCTTCACCTGTTGCAATCTCGCGGAAAGGAATGGTTGGGCGGGCGTAGTTCTCCATGGTGTAGGATGTGCCGTTGGCGAAGGTTAGGGTTGTGGTGGCGCCAGGGTAAACCCATCGTCCGCGGCCACCTCCAGTGAAGACACCAGTGCCACTACCTGAGGTACCAAGGCTGACTTGGGCAAGCTCGTAAAAGACGTTGTTGTAGAGAGCGTCGCGATCCTGGAGAGAGCCGTACTGACTGAGGTCCTCGAGGAACTCGGTCGCGTCCTTGCCGTCAATCTGAACCACAGGCGAGGGCGTGTAGGAGATGTTCTTGTATTGCATACCGAGTACGTCAGAGAAGACGAAGACGGCCGGCAGCTGGTCGCCATCTGCAGAGACAGAGACAAGGGGAACAGGGCGGCCCCAGGTGAAAATAGCGCCCACGGAGTCAGGGATATAGGAGAAGTGACCATCGTGAGCAGAAAGGATAAGGTTGTAGAGAGTCCAGCCAAAGTCGTACTCGCTCTTGAAGTTGCCGGCGTCTATGTCGCCCTCGATCTTATCAAGGCCACCGAAGATGTCGACAGGAGGCTGCACCTTCTCGGCGTACTCGGCAGGCGGGTTCTTGAGCTCAGAGAGGGTGCTCTGCCACTCAATGTAGGGACGCATCGCTCCAATGAGCCGCTTTGCTGATGAGGCGTTGAAGGGAACGGTGGTAATGCAGTCCCAGGCCAACTGAGCGGGCATGCTGAGCTTGGCGGGTAGTGTTCCATTACCGTAGACGTAGTTGGAGACCTTGGCACATGGGGGAGTAGTACCATCGGCCTGGCGAGCAGTCCGCGAGGGCAGGACGGGGGAGGCGACGGCCAGTGACGCTACGCCAATGGCGGCGAGCAGAGCGGAAGTCTTCATGGCGAGGGAGTGATGAAGCTATCTACCGTGGAGAGGGTGGGATGGAGTTGAAACGAATGGAATTGCTGAGCCAGCGAGAGCGAGTGTAGTTGATGGGAGGGGGGAAGGAGTCGCCGAGCGAGTATTGTTTGGCGGTAGGTGGGGTAATCGAACGCGCCTGCTCTAAACGCGATGAGGTGATGTACGCACGGTGAACGCGAGGGCGAACGGTCACGTGCAGGCTTTAGTCCGGGAAAGCGCACCTGGGTGGACTGCAAACGGCCGGGCGAGCAAATAACTCCAGGCTCCCACTTTCGCTGGTTTCTGGGCGAAAGATAAGTCGTTCCTGGGGAGGGAGAGGGATTGGGATGGTAAGAGACGGGAAACAAGCCCACACGGTTCCTCTTTAAGAAAGGGAAAATCCACACGCGCCACTGGGAGGCTGGTGATATACTGGGGAAAAGTGACGCATGAGGGATCCGCCAGGCTACAAATACTGACAGGCCGGTCGGTTCTGCCTTGAACGTGCACTAACCCGCAAACTGGGTAACAAACGTGCATATTCGAGGCTGTGACACCAATCACATTCACACTTTTTTTGCCGCAAGTCGGGGCTTTTCCCGGGATCCATAGGGCAATCATCGTTTAGATTGTGTGCAGCAGGTGCAGCAGAGAGCCGCAGTTGAGCTAGGGCCGTAGCCTATATGCAGGCAAAAAGTATTAACAGTTTTTGACCCAGGGTCCATTCGGTGAGCTGTTCGTTTTCAAACCATCTGAGGACATGTTCGCTGTTGTTAGCCATGCTGCCAACGCTCACCGTTCGATAACGCACGATAAGGCCGCGAGTAAGGCCACCCGAAGACGTTTTCTGGCGTTTGTTACGATGTCATGACAGCGGGACTGACGGGTTGGTTGAGGTCCAAAGCGGAGTCTTGGCAGTCTGTGCCTGCAGATCGTCAAGGCGCCATCCTAGCCACTCGCTCCACTCCTCCAACGCCCCTATGCAAGACCACCTCATCGTCCGCCTAACGACACGACTGCGCTGCTGTCGTGACCATTCAGCACGATATTCTTCCATCGCGAAAGCACAGCTCCTCGCCGTTGTCGTGCTACGTGGTTCCTCTTAGGTATTGAGGCTGTACGTGCCCTTGCTGTACGATCCGCCGTAAATTGGGACCGGCTGGTAAAGTCCAATTTATTACCAAAGTCATGCGCCCCTTGGACGCGATCAACATAGTGGAGCCATTTCAGCCTCGCCACCTCCGCTCTAAGCGGTGCCCGGGAGAATGACATCTCGAAATGTGTTTCTCCGCTACGATTCGATGGCCGTGGTCTTCATTGCCAGACAGATTTTGATTGCAAAGTTTCACACTTTAGTTATTACAAAGACAAGCAGCGTACGACGAACAGACTGTGATCTGCAATCAAGAAAACCGTTCGGCGCCCGGTCTGTGGGCCTCCCACATGCCTGCGATGTCGGTGTTGGTCAGGTCGCGTGTGGCACGTTTCACGTTTCCTTGTGGTAGCCTGCCTGAGCAACTTGCCTTTTCGGCCTCGCACGAGGGCCTGTGCTACGCCGAATCGAGACGTCACATTCTCTTCGGCTACCCGTGCCACTAGCATCGGCTGCCGCTACGCAAAAGTTTGGTTCAACTACAGCACGATGGCGTCGTTGAACGCCTGGTTTGCTGATTTTTCAGAGGACGCTATTGAATACGAGGCTGCCGATGTTAACAGCAGATGGATGCAGATGGAGGCTCGAAGCAGTCGACAAACCTCGTGGAAGCCACGTCGATGTGTCAAGCACTCAGCATCCCGGTTCCAGTCCAAGGGAAGCACCAGCCACAAAGCTTGAGCAGCGAAACACAAAACTAATGCACCCGCCAGCTACCAGACCCATCACCGCCGCACCAGCCACCACCACTTTTCGCCCATGCCTTGCTTCGATGCTTCTTCGATGCTGAATATTAATAGACGGCACAACACCTGTTGCACACAACAACAAGAAAACAGCGGAGATTCTGTCCCACGACGCACCTGTCGCATGCTCGTCGCACGTATTTGTTGGTGGTGGTGGGCTGTGGAGTACGACGAGGGTCGCCTTTTGAGGCATCCCTTGTTACCACCAACTCCACCAACTGACGAACTGTTGATCCATCGCTATGTTTAGCAACCATGTAACAGAAACGAGATGAGGTAGACTTGCGTGATCTCTTCCACCGGGTTTTATCTTCGGCGAAGCCCGGATGTTTGTCAAAACCTCCAGAACATAACCAGTAGCATATAACTCTGCCGCATACGCACCGCCATCACCTTTCGGATAAGCAGATGGTATCTAAGTTGCCGTATACATCCATCTAACGTAGTGACAACAGTATACAAAACACACGTCTTTCTTCCCTACCATCACATAGAGTCCTCGTGCGCAGATTCAAGTAAAACCCGTAGTCATCACACAATCACATAATTACACTTTCATATAAATCGATCAAGCGCCTCACCTCCAATCAGCTTTACTCGGAAAAGCGATCTATAGCACGAAACATCTCATCCATCCAATTGATCAAGTTCAACAAGTATCATTAACATCTAACGCATCCGTGATGATGACCATCACAATATCACTGAACGACCAACCTGACATATTCGTTACTGGCCCTTACAGCCCGTACAGCCCGTACAACGCGTACAATCGCACAAGCCCCTGAACCCGTGTCTCCTCCCTCACGTTAAAACTAGACTACTATAGCGCTGACATGTACGTCGCTGTACAAGCGATCTTTGTCACAAAGTCACGTCCACCTCACACACGAAAAGAACTAAACAGGTCCGCGGACTACATCACAACGAAACCCTGCCAAGTAGGTAACCTAACGGCAACGTAAGCTCCAGGGTGTTCAGCCTTTTACTGGATTAACGTGGTATTGAGTAAGATACGACGCTATCCACCATATGCCATGGCCTGTCTGTCACCCACCCACTCGTTTCATCCCTCACGATCGCACAACGCCCCTGAACCGTGTTCTCCTCACATGGAGACTAGACTACTATTTGAATATAGCACCTTATACAAGAAAAAAGCTAAACACGTTTGCAGGCTACAGCATAATGAACACGTGCAAAGTAGGTAGCGTAAAGTCAATGTATGCGCCAGGGTGTTCAGCTTGTTCCTAGGTCAACGTGATAGCGCTGACATACATGTACGTTCGCTGCACATACATGCGATCTTGTCACAAAGTCACGTCTGTGTATAACGAAAAGACGTTTGCAGCCTACATCACCATAAAAACAAGCAAAGTACTAGATCCAACGTCGACGTAAGCTCCAGGCTGTCCAGTGTTTTCCTTGAAACAAGATGCTTCGGTTAACTACCATAGTCAGCTCAGCTCATTGCCTCATCTTCCAAAGCACAAGCACATTTGTACGACAAATAGCGCTGACATGTACCCCGATTCTCCATCTAATCTACCTACCAGCTGATGGCTATCAAGCTTTTAGCAAAAATAAGAAGATGTCTCTAAACTGCGTTAGCAAAGCATAGCAAGAAGGCTACATACTAGTAATAAGTTAATGGGATATCTCAAGAGCTACTCGTGGCGGCTACTTTACTTTCTAAGGTTGCAACACGCACTTACACTGTAACATGAAGAGCCTTTTGAACTACAATTCACGAGTTCCAGATCAAAAACTCAAAAAAGGAACGAAGAACGATGTACCATTCAACAAGTCGCATCATCACTATTACTTCATCTGATGTTGTACAAGGATACATGTAGCGACGCCCAACTCAACTCAAACCCAACCCAACCCAAGTTCCCCCTTTTCTCTTTCAAACAAGACCATGACTAAACGAACGCATTCTTACACCCTAAGTTCCATCTGTTCAGCCCCAAAACTAGAATTAACAACACTACCTGCGCCGTGATGGTGGTGGAGATGGTGTTGTCTTTCCTTGACGAGAGCGTTGTACTGTAAACAATCACGTCAGCAAATGCCATCCACTAAAATCCGTCTTCCCATCACATCCCTGATAGATGAATGAGAAGGAACGCGAGGGAGAATCACATACCTTAAACCCAAAATTCAAACACAACGCCACCGCCAATCCCACACAAACCACCAACGGCCCCGTAATCGCATCGAAATCCTTCCCACTCCTCTCCCTAATAAGCCGCGCGCGGTAAATATACATCCCATACCCCCACGCAAGCGTAAAAGCCGCAATGCAGGTATACACCACCGCAAGCGCGCGGGCAATATCATTGCCCTCACCAGCCGCATTATACAAACCCAGTGACAACGAGGCGAGCAGGACGCTAACGTGCTGCCACTTGATAAACGTACGTTGGTTCGCGAGCCAGACTTTGGCTTCTACACGCACGGGACCTTGGTCTTTGATCCAGACGCCTGGGTCGCGGATGCCGGGCGGGAGCTGGACGGCGCGTTGTTGTTTGCGCGCGTATTTCGAGGTGGAGAAGGAGGGGAAGAGGGAGGCGAGACCGCTGCTGCTGCTCTTGGGCTGCTTTCCGTTGGAGCCGGCAAGGAGGAGGGTGTTTTCGTCGTCGGAATCGGGTTCTTCGTTTATGCGCGTGTGGGCGGTGTCGGTGTCGCGGTGCGAGCGCTGGGAGAGGTGAGATCCGATTGTGGGGAAGGGGGGTTTGGTGACGGGCATGGAGTGGGCGGCTGCGGAGGCGCTCTTGGGGACGGACGACCTTGTTGCGGCTGGTGAACCGACGGGCGAGGCGATTGAAGCGCGGTAGCTGGGGCTTGCGCGCGCGCCGAAGAGGGAACCGACGGCGAATTCGTCCTCGGCTGCTTTGCGCTTCTTTTCCTGTTCCTGGTCGAAGGCGGCTTCGGGTTCTTTGCGGATGTCGTTGTCGACTTCGCTGAGCCAGAAGGGGAAGGTGTTGACGTTGTCTTCGAAGAGCTTGGCTACGCCGTGGACGAACTTGGAGAAGCGGGGGGATTCTTTGACCAGGTGCGAGTGCATCAGGTCTTCGATCCATTCGTACTTCTTCAGGCCTTTGACCTTGATCTCGAGGAGGGCGTAGGGGAACTTGTGGAGCTCGCCCTTCTTGAGCGCCTTGAAGGGGAACTCCATCTGCCCGTTGTCGATGTCGCGCCTGTGCCAGTCTTCGGGGTCGCGACAGGGCCTGTCGTCGTCGAGGGCGTCTTCGCGGATCAGGGCGAGGTTGGTGTCTAGGGAGATGCGCACGCGGTTGTCGCCGGGGATCTGGAACGCGGTGCGGGTGTAGTTGGCGCGCAGCATTGGCTGTAGCTTCTGCTCCTTGACAAAGCTCTGGATGTCTGTTACAGCCTTCTTGAAGTTGTCCACCTCCTCCTGGTTCTTGTTGGGGCGGTATTCCATCTTCTCGATGCTCTTCTCCATGTGGTACTTGTCTTCGAGGAAAGACTGTACGTATTTGGCCTTGATTGGGAAGCGAACTTCTTCGGCAGCATTGCCGTCCTTGATGACCTTCTTCTCGAACATGATCTCGGGCTTCTCACCGAGCTGTCCGTACCATCTGAGGCGCAGGGAGGAGGCATCGGGCTTGCCGTTGACCTTGTCCGAGTAGAGGGAGAAGTTGGGGTTGTCGAAGTAAATGGACGTGATGGTAGGGTCGCGCTGGGTGCCCTCGGCGACCTTGGACGACATGGGGTTGTAGACAAGGACGGGGAGACGGCGGAGGATGACGGTCTTGACTTCGAAGAGGTTGTCCATGTGGACCCAGACTGTGTGTGTTAGCTGATGTTTGCCAATGGTGCATGGTGTGCCTACACTTGTGAGAGGTGAAGCCCTCGCCATCCGTGCTGGTCTCGCCAAAGGACAAGGCCTCCTTGGACTTGCCCTCGAGGCTCTGTCGGACGAACGAGTACAGCGCGGACAGCCTGTACAGCAGCGGCGAGGCATCTTCCGTGTGCAGCGGGTGGCGGGCAATGCGCGCATCGATAAAGGGCCGCAGGCGGTAGGAGCTGCCGCGGATCTTGTCGTGCTTCTTGGTGGCCTTGATGACGGCGGTGAAGTTGATGCGGCTGAAGCTCTCAAGCTCCTTGGTCTCCTTGGTGATGTTGTCGAGCTCGCGCAGGACTTCTTTGAGGATCTTGTCCCTCTCCTGCTGGCTGGGCTCGGGTTTCTTGGATGCATCGCCTGACGCGTCGCCGAACAAGCCCTCACCGCTGCTCTCCTTCTTCTCCCTGTCGTCCTTGGCCTCTTCCTTGCCCTCCGCCTGGATCCCTATGGCCAATGGCTCCAGCTTCTTCTCGCATGCCGTCGTGCGGTCGCGCAGCTTCTGCGAGATGTCCGTGATGAAGTTGTGCACCTTCTCCAACTGCACATTGGCCAGCTCGTCAACAAACGCGCTCTCGTCGTCGGCGGTCCAGGAATCGTCATCCTCGTTGTCCTTGAGCAGCTTCTTGAGCTTGTCGTAGTCAATGTACTTGTCCTTCCACGGCGCATACACGCTCTTGCGCAGTGTCGTGCCGAACTTCATGGCTTAGCGAACGAGTGTGATTGATTGCGGGAAAGTGTAAGCTCCAGCAGTCGCGACACGCAGTAGCAATAGTCAGGATATAAGAATTGCCGGCGCCGGAAAGCTCTGCATGGAGGATTGGGAATGAAGCAATGCAGCTGGGTTTAGCTGGTGGGGAGCTGCGCGCAGCCAATGCCCAGGAACTTTGGGCGCACGTGTTTCGCGTCCCGCGAGCGTCATAGCTGCAGCTCCGCTTTCATCCCAGCTCTCTTCACACCAAGGATTGGCGTCATATTCACTGAAATACACTACAGTACTACACTTCAATTCATGCGACTCAACACAGCTTCACTACAATCCGCAGGAATGCATAGAGATACTCTTCGTTAACAGTCTCACAACAACATCTGCCGCCGCGAGTCATTCCCGCTAGGAAGACCCACGCATCTTCACGTCCCGACATTAGTGTCCGAGGCCCAAGTCTGGCCCTGCCTCCTCAACCCCCAGAGCTCGGTGATTCTTGCGGCGCACCTTCGCAGCTGTTAGGATGTTGCCCTGACATACCCGAGTTGTTGACATTCGTCTCTATAAGCCGCGTTGTTGGGGCGCTGGTCGCTATGGTTCCTCGACGCATCCGTGCCAGCTTATACAAGAAAAACCCTAAACAGGCCTAGAGCCTACAGCAAAGTTGAAATACTTACTTTGCATGTTTCTGTATTGATGTAGGCTGCAGGCCTGTTCAGCTTTTTCCGTTGATCTCTCACTACTCGTTAGGATTATGCTAGTCAAGATACGTATCCGCATAAATCTGCAGTTGTTACGGAACAACCCCCAGCCGGAAACCTATCTACAACGACACGTTAGCAGCGTTGTGGCTGCGAATTATCGAAGAGACACGCCGTATGGGTTCTACATGAGAACGGAATTGGAACTGTTTGAAGCGCTTTGGGAACAGGTTTACATGCTGTTGAGAGAGATACGCAGTGTCAACAAACACTTCTGGCCGGCGTTGATGTCTTCTGTCCCTCCACGATCAAAGACGGTCAAGCGGCCTCCGTTTGCAATGGGTATTGAGGCAGAAACCGAGGATCGTATTGAAAGACTGCTACGCTGCTTGGCATGAGACACCGGGGGCTATTAATATCATCAAGCAATTGTGGGATAAGAGATAAGTGAGTCGTTTCTCCCAAGCAGGCGACTCTCTTAGGTCAGGGCGCTCATGGCACCACTAGGGATGGCTATAATGCGTGTCGCATACAAGCCGTTATAATACAACAAACAGACACTGTCTGAGGCAATGTATACGTCAGACTTAATGATGAAATTCGAGAATACGACACGGATTGTAGCCACCCATGGTGACATCCTTCAGGCTGATGGCAGTTCCACATCTTGAAACCATCTCTAAGATTGACTATCTACATCAGACTCCGCTCATGGAGTACCAATGCTTATCGTTACCTTCCATCAGATCACGGATCGGTCCAGTAGCTCCGAGTGTCTCCATCCAAGCATTGAAGCACTCCTGCAACTTGATCTGCATCTCCGCTTCATCGCCCAGCGTAAAAGATAAGGGGGTTGCGGAAAGGTGAGCCCATGGCGCGATAAATGCAGGCCAGAAATATCTGTTGGCTCTACCAACGGCGCGGTATAGCCGCCTGACCTGGTTCTCCAGCTCTTTAATGAACGGTAAATACTCTTCTCCTTCGCGGTCATACTTCCAGAGGTCCGTGAGCACGATGGTACTGCGGCTGTATCGCGCGAAGTCATGGCCTCTATAGTGCTGCAGGAACTTGACATCGGAAAGCATGCGTATCTTGAGTAATAGGATAGCAAGGAGGAACGACAGATCAGAGAAGGTAGGAGGATCTGAGCCGTAATCTCTAATCCGCTCAAAGACATCAGCCGATTCAAACGCGTCTTCAAAAGTCAGGGGTGTATCTTCGGACTGCCAGTCCCAGTCGCTGTCATGACTTTCGGTAACCCACCACTTGCAGAAGTCGTAGCATTCTCGGTCGCGTTTTAAGCGTAGGAAGAGTGAGGGCATGATACAGCGCATCCCCAGATGATCCTCGGGATCCATTCGTAGAAGAGACCATGTATCATCCAACGCTCGGTCGATCGCTGTTTTGGTGTTGAGTTTTATCAACTCGTAAGCGTAATCCCGGCGCAGGTACATGTACTTCTTGGTCCCTTTCCAGTACCAAAAATTTGGGTTCGAAGGTCCGAAGGGGTCTTTGGGCGCTTCGTCGTATCCTGGGTCGCGGTCCCATGGGCACAGTGGGTCCAGTTCACGCTCGGTTTCACCGATAAGTTTATCAAGCCTCTGGATCCTATCGCAGATTGTCCGATGGGCTACTTGGTCGAGGGCTTGGTGATCGGTACAGCAGTAATGAACTGCTCTGCAGCCACTGCATTGAATGCGGCGACTCGTTTTGGGGCAGATATTGCACCCATTGACGAGACCATGAGGTAGGTTGTGTGGATATGGTGCACGATGACCGATCACGTTGGGTCGGAGCGGCGGCTCAAGAGGGGTGACAGATGCTTTGCGTTTGTGTGATGTTCGAGCGATGCTGTGTTCGTCCATTGTTGCTCGATCTGAGGGGTGCAGGATCACGCATTCCGGATTTTGCATTGGTATTGAGCCAGCGCGCGTTGATGAAGACATGACGCGACGCGACGCGATGTTGATGGAATGCGATGTGGAAATGACGCGATGCAATGAGACGTGACGTAATGAAATGCGATGCGATGCGAAGGCAACGCGATATAGATGCGGCGCGTTGTGGTTGAGACGAAAGGAGAAGGAACACGATGAAATACGCTGAGCGTGAAGTCGGAGATTATTTCCAGGACAGCTGAGCTCATCGGGGGAAATCTCTGGGACAGCCGAGCTTCAAGAACTTCAAATGTGAAGCGAGGGACAGCCGAGGTAATCCCATAACATCAGATTGCAATTCGAATGCTTTTGGAACGCTATGAGAAGTATCCAGGGCAGATGCGCGGTCTTGGTGTTTTGATATGTACCACAATTGCATGGGTTCACTGCCTCGTGGACTGTCTGTTGGGCATGGGGGGCAAGAATTTCTGGGTTAGCGCTGGTAAAGACTGGGTAAAGTCTGAGTCTTTACTCAGTAAAGACTCAGTGAAGACTCGGTAAACACTCGGGGTTGAAGATGAGGTTGAGGATAGCGAGCATAAACACTGCAGCTTTGCCCATATATGCATGACTGCATGAATGTTCAGGTCTGGGGAGTTGGAGTGTTGGTGTTCTGCCAATAATTTAGGATCGATTCTGAATCGATTCCAACGTATTCCCAGTATGTTAGGAACACGTTACGGTGCACCGTGCGCTATGGTGTTGTGTGTTTCGGCGACGAAGCACCACGAACATCAAACCGAGTACTAGACTAATACGAATAAATTATATGGCATCTTAAGTCTATTAAATTGATGTCTATCACGCGGTACCTTTCAAGTTGATAACGGTAGCGAACATCAAATCCCTAATCCCACCCAACCCTCTCTCAGTCAGCCACTGCAACACCATGACCTTGTATCCATCCGCGCCCTCCCAATCGGCGTCAACACCACCTTTGCTCTTCAGCACCTCCAGACTCTTTTCCGTAACAGGTCCGTCGTGATACCGTGTGACATTCTTCTCACCCACCTTCTCAACCTCCCTCTTCTCGACCGCACGCCACGCCGCGGCAGACAGCGAAGCCAACCACGCGTTGTACGACAACGCGAACGCAGCCCCGATAGTGTATCCACGATCTACTCTCCGTAGATACTCGTTCAGTGTCCCCCTCAGTATCGGATCGCAGTACAACCCCTTCGACTTTTGGTCCTGAACGAGAAGACCACGGGAAACCCACACTAGATTATACATGTCGCGCAGACACCAATTGAACGCATCTGTGACTTCCGCAGGATAGTATGTCTTGACCGGCTTGGGGTGCGCATCAAAAGCCAGCTTGTAAGAGCCGATGATGCCGCAGATACGAGAAAGCGTCGTTGAAGATGCGTCCTGAGAGAGCAGGTAGACGAGATGCATCGGTGGCAGATGTATTGGGATGACGTGTGGTTTCGAGGAGGTGCTGAGGAGTTCGTAGAACGAGAGGATCGATGATGTGAGGGTGGTGCTGGAACCTGGGGGGATGGAGACGAGAGCCGAAGTGAACAAGGTGGCTACATGCTCGATTAGGTCGCTTAAGACTTCCTGTTGAGTATCTCTTTGGTCGGCAGCTCCGGACGCTGTCTGGGTTATTTGGTGCTGCAGTAGAGATGTGTAGAAGTCGACGAGCTTTGTGTATGCGGTAAGGCCATGAGCTGCTAGGGCTCGTTCGACAGCGGACAGATAGGTTGTGTGGGCGTCTTCAAACGCTTCAATCGGGATATAAGAGACCAGTTCTAACAGACAATCGAGATCTTGCTGACCATCCCATATCGGCAGGTATTCACGAAGAAACGCCAGTACTGTAGGATGGAGTGACTTTGATAAGTTAGCCAGTTGCACGTGAAACCTGCTGATGCACTTGCCTTTGTGTACTGAGCGTACGTCAAAAGCCCACCGAGAACTTCAGATAGATACTGCTCGTTTCCAGTGCCTTGCCGGTACTCCTCGAATTGCTCTTCTAGGCACGTGGCAAGCCAATTTCCTAATCGACCGGCTGTTATTGGCGATGGCTTAAGGTCAACGTACTTCTGTAGCAGCGGATCCACGAGGAGCGCTATCAGCTGGCCCGGTGGCTCTATTCTATCGAGCTTGTCCACGAAATCGTCCACACTATCAATGCCCTCAAGGGTTGCTGAGCTCTGTCACACACTGTTAGCACCTCCAAGACGTTGAGAAAAGATATTCGCCCACCTCAGTCGCATGGTAGGTATGCACGTCCGGAATCGCCGATCCTTTGCTGCCTCTCAGCCTTCTTCGTAGCACCTTGAAACCGTTCTGCCCGTCTACATTCGAGTCGTCTTCCGCCACACTAGCCTCCTGAATTGCAACGATCCTGGCTTGCCATTCGGCATCAGGTCGCTATTGAGTTAGCGTGCATCCAGCAGTGTGACAACGAGATGCGGGGAAGTAGCGTGGGGGATCTGAGGTTGCATTTGTGGTAGTACCAGAAACGGATACTCACCGGAGCGAACGACTTCCAGCTTGTGGAAGTGCTTCCGAGTATTATATCGGGATAGTAATCCTTGTAGACACGGAGGAGACCCTGGAGCGCAGGCTCGTTGCCGAGACCGCGAGACAGCTCTAGTCTGAAGTAGGATCAGCTATCGGTATCTGGGTCGTATCGATGCTGAAAGCCATGTACATACAGTTGTTGGATCCGGAATGGCTTGACGTGTTTCCTGCGAGTGATCAAGGACAGCAGATGGCACAAAGATGTCCTGCTAAATTTAGCACTTATGTTATTGGTAACAGGCCGAAGTAACGCACCTGATACTGATCATGTCGAGCATACCAAACAGCACACCATATAGTCGGGACAAGACGCTCGAATCTTCCACGACCTCATGGATGGCGATGAGCCATTTCACAAGACTGTCTTGTGTACCGGGCGAAGGTTTGCCCTTGCCCTGCCCCAGCGCACCAACAATCGTGATGACAACATCGCCTGGAACCTTTTGAGACGGGTACAAGTTCTTGATCAAAGTCGTGATGGTGGTTTGGTCTAGCAGGGTCTTCACCGACGCGAGCTGCACTATGTCTCGCAGAGCATCCTGGTCAAGGCCATCTTCCGAGGCGTAACGGCAGATGACATCGACTATATTGGAGACCTTGACGGTCCGTTGCTTTGCTGTTGTTCTAGATGCTGCAGACCGGTGTAAGCACTGATCCTGACTGGGCTCGTTGCTGCATATCGACACCTACCTTGATGCAGTAAGTTTAGCGTCTCCTGCAGCGTGGGCCGCTCTTCTGCTGAGTCCATCAGTAGCTGGCTTGGAGCGAAGTCAATGTGGGGTTACCGGCGACCGATGGCATCACGCTACCAGTGCAGCGTGCATACAGTAAGACAGTTGTCGGCCGTTGTTGTATGAGCCGCTGATGATGCAGACGCGTCGCGGTGGTTGTTGACAGCCTGATCGCGCCTTCCCTGTTTCGATGGGCTACGAACAAGCGAGCAGCCCCGCTAACACATCGCGGTCAACACGACTCTTCACATGCACTTTGCTCGCACCAATTTGCGTCAACGATGCCATCAATGTATCACCAGCCTCGATATCATCGCCAATATTTCTGTGTGGGCACACAACATCGCGGCTGCCGGTCTGGCCATCCGCGGCTCGTTCACGCTACTCGTGCTTGATTCAATCAATCGTGCAGATGTCACCCGCATGGCCGTGTCATCACTGGAGCATGCATCGAAGCTCTCGCCCATCGCCACATCGAGGTCAACCCTTTGTGTTACACAGCAAGCATCGAAATGTAATGATTGCGGCTTGCGCAACTGCTACTGGCTCGCTATGGGCGGTGGCCTTGCGGGTCAGCCATCAACTCAAGCACGCCTCCTGCAACCTTGACTCGAATTGTACTGACCCCCGCGCGTTGTACGCCTTGCCCGCGATGACAAGCACGCGTCGGGTATCGACCTTCATTATCAACCTGGCTGTTGGTCCTTGCTTTGAAATGAGTGGCCGGCTTTCCTTGGATCATCATCCTCTATCAGGACGGCCGGCGGGCCTCTAGGACTGCCCTTCATCTACAACAGGCTGACACGCACATCTCTGATCAATGTGGAGCTTGGATCTGCGACTGGATGTGGCGTCATCTATTCTCGATACACGATCCTGCTGCTACCCGATGCAACCGTCGCCGTGCACTTATACGCCCGTCGTGCTCCTTACTGACATGCGCGAGCACGCTACGGCAACGCTTCTGTCGTGTCAGTCATGGCTGTGAACGGGAAATCGTTATCCAATCGGTAAGACCTCCGCCTGCTACGGTAGTGGATGCACTTCTTTATCTGCACCGGAGACTGCCTGGCCGAGGTCGTGTACTACTCTCTTCGTTCTTTATCTGGTACCACCCCAAGTATTACTATCTATCGTATTGACATACATCTTCAGGAGCTTAATTCCAATCGAACAGGGTGGGAGAAACTTCAGCTACTATTAACAAGGTCACGGTCCACTCGGCGATCCACAAGCACTCGACATCAGCACCTCATTTGACGATTCCTGGGGTGGCTACCGGCAACCTTGCATAGCTGCTTTTTGTACTCCTGAATACCATAGCCGGAACCATCTACCTTGCCATCCAGCATAACATCTTACGCCCGTTGCCGGCTGGCTTCGGCTTGCAACGTCAACCGGCACTTTATTCTGACGGTGTCTCTTCCCTGCAAAAGCAAGAGTCGATTCACCATGGGAACTTGAGTCTGGGCGATCGAAATATAAGAGCTGCGCTTTTGCAAACGATGCCCAAAGCAACCTCGAATCTTCCTCTCGGCTGGCTCACCTAGGACCTTTGTGTGCTTTTCTATCGTCGCCATAGTAACAATCGCAGCCGCGTAGTGATGGGTGAACGAAAGAATCAACCGTCCTCAAAGAGCAACACACATCGACCCAAGATGACTTCAGCATCTAGCAGGTCGACCGCGACGCAGGATCCATCTTCCGGAACCGCCAAGATTGTACGATGTCCAACGCAGACTCTCGAACGATTGCGGCGCCTGAATGAAGCAGAGATAATTACTCTCTTCACTCCATTCGTACCCCATTCGCCATTGACGACACTGGCAAAAGACATGGACCCTTTCGAGCCTCTCGGCCGCGCTTTACCAAGACAAGTACGACACGTCCCATATCGTCTCGACTCTGATATGACAGAGATGCACGCCGATTTCCTACCAACCAGCGGAGCAGTCGTCATCGTCATATGCGCCACCTCTAACGTCATCAGCAACCATGCTCAGGCTTTTGAACGGCAATTGAAGTTTGCACGGAGCATTTCGAAAAAGATACCAAGAAGCGATACTATACCGGGCCTTCCGACGATCCTCATTCTCATCGATGATGGCGCTACGGGCCAGGCTTATGTCAATGTGGCATATGACTTCCCAGCGCTTGTGACTGTCAACGATTATACTACCGCAGCACTTGTGAATGCGGTACATGTCCTATTTGGCAACTGAACACCCCGTTTATTGTACAACATCATGTCGCGGTTTCCAAACCGAGCTCAGCGAGCGGATACATGGCCACGAACGGCTCAGCAGCGCAGTCGATACGAAACAGTCGGAACGCGCCCCTAATTATTACGTCGAACTTTACGATATATCATCACTACAACACTCGTGGATATACAGCTTCAAGCTTGCAACACACGGCACTCTTTTCTCTCCTTCATTTACCTTATACGTTACAGGTCCTATGTACAATGTATTTCAGGTGGCATGAAGTTGCTCTAAGCTATCCTCTCCATTCAAAAACATATCCTATGCAACAACAACATATCTACCGGCACACTTTATACACAATGATCAATGTATTCACAATCTCCCTTCAATCACTACCAACCGCAGCCCTACGCAGTCCCACACAATCGGAGTCTGTCTACCACAGCGGTACTTGAGCCACGTCACGTCACGTCACATCACATCGCAGAGCGTGCGTACACATACAGACAAGTCGTCCGATCTCGGCGTCGAGCATAGCCGCCCATGTATCATGCAGTTGGAATGTGACATATGCTGGCAGACATGCATGATGCATATACGAAATATGTCACAGCGCATGCTGCGACGTTCACGTGAGGTGCTGGCTAGGGTCGAGATGTGTTTGCTGGATGTGACGTGCTGTGTGCGTGCTCTTGGAAGGGTTACTCGAGATATATGCGATGTGTCTGCGGGGCGTAGAGAGAATGAGGTGGTGGTTTGGTATTAACATTACTGAGGTTATTGTACGTCTATAGTCGTGAGGGAATAGGTATGTAGGTATGCCTGAATTGGCGAATGGAACTCCTTCCTGCGCCTTGCCTTATGCATGTGTTTGGGACTGTTGTGTGTCTGGAGTCCGTACTGTCGTCTCAGGGTAGGCGGTAGAAGCCTGACTCCGTCGAGGCGCAACAAGCCGAAGACTTCATGCCCTCCAATAGGCGACCATGTTCCCAGGGCATCCAGTCAAAGCAGAGCTTCGACGCCCCTCACCAGACCCCATCATCTCCAGCGTATCCTTTCTAATCCATTCCGCTTGAATGCCTATAACTCCATCATCCCCCGCCCATTGTTCATAGCACCCGCACCCGCATCCAGCGGCCCATTCGGCGTAATCCCTGTATCGATACCCCCGGTTTTAGGTACTGAGTTACTCGAAAGCGAATCGTGGTTGCCCGATAGGTAGTAGAACATGCGATTTGCGATGATGGTAAGGTGCTCGGGGAGGTACAGCGATGCGGCGATTATGAGGAGGGAGAGGAGGAGGAAGAGTACGGAGTCTGCAAAAAACCATGTCGTTAGCAACTGTCCTAAAGTAATACCAAAGGTCGGTGGGGGAGGAGAGCGACCCGGATAGGGGCGGTGGCTCATGTCCAAGAATTGAGTTGAGAATGCGATGTGATGCGGTAAAACAGGATATTTAGGACATACTGAAAATGAACTTCTCAGTCGACGTCAACATGTACAGCGAGAACGTGACTTCATATTGATAGCGCTTGCGCTGGAACCAGCGGAGGAGGGCGGATGGGTACAGCATTGCCGCGACGAGGAGCGTGGATGCGCTGGCTAGGAGGAGGATGGCGGATAGCGTCGTCGTGTCAATCATAGACCTTTCGGTATGTGTCGTCGTGTTTGCGCGTGCGAAAGGTGTATATGAAGGTGGAATTGGAGGGTTAATGTGTCTGGGCGCAAATGTTGGGAGCGGTGGATGACGGGGGAGATGAAGGGTTCAGGGACGGCGGATTCGGAGCAGGGATGGTGCGATTGCCTGATTAAGATCGGGAGCGGGTGGTCTAGCGCGTGAGCTGCATGGCATCATCAACGAACACGCGTGCGAGAAGTTTCTACACAGGACCAGCGATGCCAATGCTGTTGCAATGCCTCCGCCATGCCGTATCCCTCCCTAACACACACCCAACAATGCGCCTCCTCCCCGCCCTCCGCTTCCGCCCCAATGTCCCACGCCTCCAAACCGCTTCCCTCTCCACCTCTCCATCCCTCAACAATGGCAAATCGCTCCCCCCACGCACCCCCCTCCTCGACGCGGACCTAATCGAAAACTTCCTCAAAGGCTCCGGTCCCGGCGGTCAGAAAATCAACAAAACCTCTTCCGCCGTCCAACTCAAACACATTCCCACGGGCATCGTAGTGAAATACCAGGACACGCGGTCAAGAGAGATAAACCGGAAGATGGCGAGGCGGATTCTGCAGGAAAGGATTGAGGAGATGGAGTTGGGGGAGGGGGCGCGGACGAAGGTCAAGGCGAGGGAGAAGGCGAAGAAGAAGGCGAGTAGTGGGAAGAAGGCTAGGCGGAAGTATAGGGCGTTGGCGGGGGAGAAGGATGGGGAGGATGGTGGTGAAGAGGGGAAGACAGGGGAGGTAGTTGATGGATTGGAATTGGGGGAAGGGGCTGAGGAAAAGGTTGAGGGTGCTGATAAGAGTAAGACGGTGGGCGGTTGATGATATTCTTGGTCCACGGCTACGATACCAAACACCAAGTGTGCACCATTGTGCTAAGAGCATCGACAATGAACGGTATATTGGCACGGAGAAGGACAGCCGCCAAGCGTGTTCCGCGCGACAAGACGCCAAGCCCTGGGGATATGGCGACGATACATGTAGAAGTTGTACGACTCAGGGACGGCGAGACTTGCAAGCGAGGGAGCAGTGGAAAAAAACAGGAGCCCATAGATGCCGGAGAAGAATGAGGAGGTGATCGAGTTGTTGAAGGCGTGTGGGGCGACGGCGAAGGGGACGTTTCACAAGATCGAGAGAGAGGTGGAGGATGTGGAAAGAGAAGAGAAGGAGGGATTATCGAGTCAGGTCGCGAGGTTGTTCACGCGCAAGAAGAGGGCTGAATGGGAGATGAGTCAGGAGAGGAGTCTTATTGCCGCGGAAAGTCAGGTCTATCTTGCTCCTTTGAAGGAGAAGTAATCCATGCACCCCTGTGTGCATACTACTAGAACCACCACATATCCAGCACTACCTCCATCCACTCGGCCTTCGCCCACCCAAAACAACGTCCACATCATTCTCCTCATCCCACCTCTTCAAAAACTTCTCTGTCACCCACATATGCCGCTGCTTCGCCATCTTCCGACCGGTCTCTGTCTCCATCAACTCGACATGCCCGCCGTCAACATGCCGCAGACACTCGACATCAAAACCAACCCCTGTCTTCCTGTATACTTCATCCATACCATGAAAATAGAAAGATCGAGCCATGCCCACAGCGCCCAGTCGCTGGAGATGATATGCATCACGTAAGACGCGGTGGATGGGCTGTTCGTGAGAGAAGTTGGTAACGGTGGAATTCTCCTCACCAATTTGAATGGTACCCGAGAGCCGTGCAGCGAGACAAGACGCCTGCCAAACGATATTGGGCGGGCATCCCGCTGCCCTCGTGAACTCACGTACGACTTGCCATTGATTACGCTTCTCGTCCTCGGAGAGATACCATGCGTCACTCATATCGTGGGTGATGTCGTGCGTCATGCACAATACCCACAGGAGTGTGGAATCAATGTCCCGAGCCCATTGATGAAACCTCTGTTCTTTCCACAGAATCCACGCGGCGTCGGCAACGACACGCATCGTATGTGGATAGTCTTGTGAAACGAAAAGCCGGTCGCGGTCGTCGGGAGGTGAGGTGTAGAGTTTGTTCCTCTGAGTACGGACGGCTACGTTGAGGGCCGTGAACCATGCGCGGTCTGCGGGTTTGATTTCAAGGAGCGTCTGGTTGAAGAGCGGCGGGATCATAGTGAATGTATGCGAATCGATCTTCGGAAGTGTCTCGCTGAGTGGGTTGGATACGAGACCGCAACAAGGGTCAAGTGCTTTGGCGTATGTAATGAAGTCGACATACCGAGGGCTCCCTTCGTGGGCGTCAGTGTTGACTTTCGCGCCGGGCGTTGTCAGGGGACCATTTGAAGCGCTTGAGAGCTTTCGGGTCGTTGTGATACCGGCGAAGCGGCGGGACGCAACATTGCTGAGCGCCCTCATGTTGAGTTTGGAATTGAAGAAGCTGGTGTAGGAGACGTCGGGTCAAGAACTCAGACGATTATTTGTTCTGCGTAAAATAGCAGGGTGAGTTGAGACAGTGGTTGCATACGACATCGGGGAAGTCGCGCTCAAAGGCAAAGGCGTGATCAAGAAAGCGTAGAGGCCTTGCGCTGATCCATTCGCAGTTTTCCAGTTTTGACAAAATGCGAGTGAAGAGCATATTAGAGTGACGCTACGTTCACCTGTTCCCCCTCTCTACAGGATCCAAAATCAGAGTTCCAATCTACGTCTCCTCATCAGCCACATGCCCCAGCTCCTCCATACAATACCTCATCAGCTCGACATCGCCAGCCACAGCCGTCCGTCGCCTTCATGTCCGCAATCCCAATCTTTTGCCTGCGGAAGGAAGGTGTTCTACAGATGTTCTGAAAATGAGCTGGCCGAAGGACGGTGATCTTGTGGGTGGGGAAGGTCGTGCGTGAGAATGATTACTTATCTCGTTCTGTCTCCATTCTCGATGGAAGGTATAGAGAAAAATGGCGGCTGTTGTAACTCAATTACCTGCCCATCTGATGAGTGCAGACACTTCAAATCAGCGAGCCTGTCATCGTCTTGCTAGCTGCCCAGCATATACAACCCCATCAGCCAAGCTCCAGTTTCTAACAGCAACGTCAAACCCAACACCACTATCATCCGCCCAGAAACACAAACCCACCCCCAAACGCATCGCCAAGCCCCTTTCACCCCATCGCAATGTTGTCAAAGCCATGCAGCATCCCGTATTCCTCGCATGCCGCAACTCCCTTACTCAGATCTCTTACTGCCAAAAATAGCATGCGCGCAGGGCCGCCCAGCGTCGCTTCCAGCCGTTAGGGCCGCAGCGGCAACCCACAAAGAGCTTACTGCTACCCCACCGCAATAACACGAAAGTCATGCTTTGGAAGGCCTGATCGCAAGGTGTTGCCGGAAACACGGGAGGTGTTGGTCGATTAGTATGTGTTTTGGGGGCGAGGGATGGAGATGCGCGAGGGTGGTGACAGGGGACACAGACGTCATTTCCTTATGCGGTCTGACCGGAGCTTCAGAGATGGGATACCCCTTCCAACGCGACAGAGGCGACCGTCTCTTCCTTTACTGCGCAATCCCATTAGGGTTTCCCATTGTTGCAGGTTTTCGCGATTCAACCCTACGCTCCTCACGGCTCTCGTACGAAATTCGAGGACCCGTTGAGCGGCGAAATTGCTTTTCGTCACGAGCGCCCGCGTTTAGGCCTCTGCGTAGTAAGCTCGTATTAGGACCGACCGGGCACACACTGTCCTAAGATCGACACCAGGGTACACTGTCGAGTGGATCTTAGAGCGTAGATTGAGTTTTCGTTCGTGTTGAGTGGAGCAATCATTCAATGGAAGGTCGTGTCGAGGCCGTGCGGCTGCTGCAGGTACGGGAGGATGTGCAGCGAAGGAGGCAAATGTTCTCGTATTGGTTGTGGTCTTAAGAGGGTGATTTGCCCTTGTGTATAGGGCTCACTTTACTCTCCTCTACAGGCCTTGGTCTTGGTCTTGGTCTTTGCTTTTCCACGCTCGTTTATTAGGGTAAGCTTACCTGTCGGTCCGTTCGTTTGGTCCTTCTCCTTCCGGTGGTTTGGGGTATACTACGCTCTTTCCTTGTTAACTTCGTCGACTGAACTCGGATTGCTGTCTTCTCAACGTCGCGATGAGGTTCCTCGTTTCTCTTACGGCAGGTCTCCTGTCTATTGGTTTGGCATCCGCCTCGCCAGCTGCGCCGCTGAATAAGAGAGCTGTTTCCACCGACGGAAGCTGCGGAGGAGCAAAGGGCTTCACTTGCAAGGGTTCTTCGTACGGTGACTGCTGCTCTCAGTATGGATGGTGCGGAAAGTCAGCAGATCATTGCGGAGCTACCTGCAACTCAGCTTTCGGCACATGCACTGGCAGCACGACATCAAAAGCAACTCCAGTAACGGTCAAGACTTCGTCGACACAGGCTCCACAGCCGGCGTCAACACCGACGAAGAAAGTCTCACCAGATGCGACATGTGGTGGTACAAAGGGTTACACATGTCTGGGTTTTGCTGAAGGCAACTGCTGCAGCGCGAGTGGATGGTGCGGCTCGACATCGGCATACGTGAGTACTCACCTACGCTTTGAATGAATATATACTGATTTTAGCAGTGTGGAACTGGATGCCAGTCAGGCTTCGGAAACTGTGGCAGCAACACCGGATCAGGATCTACCACCAGCAAGATTTCTTCAGCGGCACCATCGTCAGCGCCATCGTCAGCACCATCTGGATCTGCTCTACAATGCTTGAACGGAAAGGATGTGCCGTACAAGATGACCTCGGATGCTGAGTACTCTGAACTTTCGGAACCCTACAATCTGCGCGTCCCTTTCAAGCCGGCTGTCATCGTTCTTCCCACCACCAATCAGCACGTTCAGGATGCTGTAGTGTGCGCCGCTCAAGCTGGTCTTAAGGTCCAGGCCAAGTCAGGCGGTCACTCTTACGCAAGCTTCAGCTCGGGTGGCAAGGATGGCGCTATGCAGATCAACCTCCAGTCTTTCCAGACCATTCAACTCGACAAGGACTCTGGAATTGCAACAGTCGGAGGAGGTGTTCGCCTTGGCAACCTAGGTGACGGTATCTACACTCAAGGCAACGCTGCCGTAGCCCAGGGTACCTGCCCTGGTGTCGGTATCGGAGGCCACTACACCCACGGCGGCTACGGCCACACTTCTCGCCACTGGGGATTAGCCATGGATCAAGTGGTCGGAGCCGACGTCGTCCTCGCCGATGGATCTCTCATCAAGGCCTCATCAACAGAGTCTCCCGACATCTTCTGGGCCATCAAGGGCGCAGCCGAGTCCTTCGGTGTCGTCACAAAGTTCTACCTCCAGACCCACGCCGCACCCACCAGCATCACGTACTTCGAGTTCGGCTTCACCGGCATCCACGACTCCAAGAGCGTGTGGACAAACACCTTCATGCACATCCAGGACGTCGCCAAGAACGCCTCCGTAGTCGACAACCGCGTCTCCTTCGGCATCTACCTCGACAACTACGGCGGCTACAGCCTCAGCGGCGCCTTCTTCGGCAGCGTCTCTGATTTCAACACCCAAGTCAAGCCCGAACTTCTCCGCAGCCTCCCCAACCCCACCGCCACCGTCCAGTCCATGGCCTGGTACGACTACATGGTCAAAGTATCCGGCAAGACCAGCATCAAAGAGCCTCTGACCGGGTACGACGAGCACGAGGATTTCTTCGCCAAGTCCGTCACCGTCCCTGAGTCTACCGGTCTCACTTCCAACGCTCTGGACGCTCTGTACGATTACCTACAGACAGCTGATGGGACGGAATACTACATCATCATCAACCTCTACGGCGGCCCCGGCTCCGCTATCAACAGCAAAGACACTGAGTTTGCTGCCTACAGCGATAGGGATAGTCTGTGGGTGCTGCAGAACTATGGGTACGGAGGTGATTCCATGGATTTTATTAATGGCATTAATAGTGCTATTATCGATGCGCAGCCGCAGACATCGTTTGGCGCGTATTTGAACTATGTTGATCCTAGTTATGATGCTGCGACGGCGCATAAGCTTTACTATGGCGATGCTGTGTACAGTAGGCTGGCGGCGTTGAAACAAAAGGTCGATCCGAAGAGCGTGTTCTGGAATCCTCAGGCTATTGGTGCGTAGGATATGGGGTGGTTGATGGGTGGGTAATAGGTGTTTAGGGCGTTTTAGCATGGGGAAGAGCTCCTCATGTATGTTGGGTTATGTATACGTTTATGGTTGGTTTTAGTAATGATACTATTGCAACATTCGAGATCACGTCCATTTTCCCCTACATGGATATCTACAAATGGCATTGCCGCATCAATCCTCCGTCTTGACCACAGGTTCGTCTGCTTTAGCCGGCTGATCATGAAGCTCATGGACAGTATTCGCTTCCATCTCATATCTCAAAGGCAAGACCTCAGACACAACCGCAGGCTTATCTTCCAGCTCACCTCCCAATGCCTCAAATCCCTTCCCACGCGGTTGACCAATCTCCAGTACATGATTCGACGGCGCTTCGTGAACGTCATTGTAAGTACGATCGCCGTCTCTGTCGGGCTCATACTGTGCAGTTTCGGTAGCTGGTAATTGGTGTGATACCCTTCTTCTCTTTCTTTGCAGGCGGCGAAAGAGTAGCCAGCCAGCTGCTATTCCGAGGGCAAGCGTAGCGGGTATAGCTATGCCGAGACCGATCTTGTGGCTTAGTTGGAAGTCGTTGTGCATGTGCTGGTGGACCTCTTGGTCGTGAGGGTTCGACGGGTCTGCGATGGTGCTTGTTGGAGTGTTCGTGGTAGGGTTGGTTGGTGTGCTCGCTGAACCTGTACCTGATTCAATACCTGGCGTGCCGGACACTCTTGAGTCTAACGTCGAAGCTGATGCCGAAGCTGCAGTTGACAATCCTTCCGGTGACAACAATAACGATGTCGTCGGCGAAGTAGTCGAACCCACCGCCTCAGACGACGCACCACTCCCCGCGATAAAACCATCCACAATATTAAAATACTGACTAGTATCCGAATCCCCATCCACCGAAAAAACACTAAGAAAGAACAGCGTCGACTCCTCCAGCCTCGCATTCGTCTTAACATTCCATAGATAACTCGTTCTATTCACGATACTCGCTGGGTCCACATGTTAGCTTTGCTTCTGTAAATAAGCTTGGAAGCCACGGAACAGAGCGGCCCTTCATACGCATGATGGGACTTACGCATGATGAACTCGCCGTCGCCGATCTGCTCCTGGCCTAGTGTCTTGACTTGGTGCAAGACCAGGTCGTAGGGCCCGGTTTCGTCGCCGGGATACCATTGGATGTTTATGGTGTAGTCTTGCTTGTAGGTAGGGGGGTTGCTTAGGCCGCCGTCTGTGCCGTGGGTTGGGGGGTTGATGAATTGGATGCCGAGACTTGATACGCGGGGGGAAAGTATGGCTAGCAAAGCGCATGCTGATAGCGTAGGCATATCGAACTGGACCGTCGCCAGTGATTAGATGATTGCAAGATCGATGATTCCGTGGCAGTACTTGAGTGCAACGAGTGATGGTAAACAGCGAGTGACAAGAAACACACGCTGAACCATATCAGGAGCTGGCAACTGTGCGAAGCAATCGCACGTAATATCATGGTTTCGACTTCGCTCCTCTCATTCCTCTTGTTCTAGCAGCGAGAGGCGTAAGGTGCAACAGCGCCTTGCCACGATGCGCCCCCCGTGATGAAACTTCTTTGTACTCATCGGTTTTGGGTGTCAGCCCTGGGTCGACTTGATGCAGCCGGCATGATAACTGAAGCAAGCCATGGAATACTGGAGTATGAATACGAGAAGTACAAGTGAGCGTGTTCCGGAGCGGAGAGATGTTCGTACGGGTCCAACAGTTGAAAGGGTCCCCAACATTAGCCGTGATCTTAGATCATCAACCCCAACAGACCCATGTATCAGCGCTACCGTGCCACATCAAGCGAGATGTGATAACAGAAAGTTAAGCGCCACACTCAGCGCTCCGTGAAAATAGAATGCGTGCAGCCGCCCCTAAAGTCTGTGAGCTGCAGGTACCGGTCTCACTGCGGCGTTCGCCCACCATTTGTATAAGGATCGCCCCTCCGTGGCGCTTTGCGATCTCGTGCCCTCCTCTTTGTCCTTCCCCTTTTGTTGGCTTTTCCCACCATGTCACTGTCGCTACCCAAAGTTTTCAATCATTACACACTGATCGCGCTATGCACATTAGCGTTGGTTTACCACTTTCTCTCCATTCAAGACCACTTCACTGTCCGTGCGCCGGGTACGCCCGCGATAGCGCAGCCACCGCAAAACGGCGGATTTCCTAAACGCATTTGGTACAAGTTGGGCCCTAATGGCCTTTCTGAAGAGACGCGAGCCTGGACCGATAGCTGTGTGAATAGCAATCCTGACTACCAAGCACACTTCTTGACGGACGACGACGGTGACGAGTACGTTCGTAAGACCTTTGCGGAATCCCGACCGGATATCGTCGACGCCTACCTCGCATTACCCGTCCCTATCTACAAAGCCGACATGCTGCGCTATGTCTTGCTGTGGAACGAAGGCGGAATCTGGTCCGACCTAGACGTCTCTTGCGAAGAAGGCATATCCATGGACGAATGGGTGCCAGTTGCATACCAGGGAATCGCTTCGCTAGTAGTAGGCTGGGAGTTCGATCAAGGCTGGCCCGGCGAATATGTCCGCGAATTCGCCAGCTGGACGATAATGGCCAAACCACGATCGCCACACATGATGCAGGTCATCGAGGATATCCTCCAGACACTGCGAGACAAGACGGCGGAGCATAACATCCCGATCCAGAACGCGACAATGGATATCATGGGGGATGTTGTTGATTTCACTGGTCCCCGGCGCTTGACGCGCAGTGTGTATACGAGCTTGGGGAAGATACTTGATAGGTCGATTGACGCGCGCGATATGATGGAGCTTGTGCAGCCGAAGCTGGTGGGCGATGTCTTGGTCATGCCGGGTCGGTCGTTTGCGGCGTCTGCGAATACGTATAAACCGGATGAAGAAGAACTTTTGCCGCCAAAGCTGGTTACGCATCATTATGCGGGGACTTGGAAGAACGACAATGGGGGCGAGCAATAGAGAAAGAAGAATTCGGAAGTCTTTGGAAGAACATCAGAAACGCATCCATGAGCATGGTCGTGGAGTGATGGAGACGCTTCCATTGGGCTGCCTGATGATGAATTATTTTGTCATCGTTGATTTGCTACACACTTTCCAAGGACTGCACCGCCGCCTCCACCGCCGGAATTGTTTTGGAACAGGAGTCTTGGAAGATACTTGGCCGTATCGGCCGCGTTGATAGACATCCTCACGCTGGCTGTAACAAGTCCTCCCGCGCGAGATCGAGGCACGACTAGGCTGACCTATTCGTACCGAGTAGTCATCCGAGTCTTCTTGCCATGTCTCCTGTTCTCTCTCTTTCTCCCACAACATGATGCTGTACTCAGGCATGGATATACAGACAAGGGAAAACGCCACGGCCATTGCAGTCAAGTTTGTTCCCTCCATTAAACCGACGAATCGCGAGCTCTAGACCTGGACCTTTATAGCAAGAGAACACGAAAACCTCTTCCTTGTCGATGTTTGCGTAGATCTCTACACCAGGCATTAGTGGATACCACGTACCTCCGTCAACCTTGGCAGCTTCGTAGCGGGCTTCACGGTTGACGAAGAAGAGCGAAGGGTAGCCACGGAACGTATATGCGATAATCTTTCCTTTCTCCTCATGGATGTTGACTTGATTTTCGAGATCGATATGGGCGATACCGAGGTCTTCTATCTGGTCGTGTACCGCGATAACCCATACTCTGGCGCGGAGTTCTGCAGGTAGGCGGGAGAAGGGGTGGAAGGTCCGTGTAGCGGGTGTGTGCGACCATTCGGGCGCCCGAGGGAACCGTTCTAGCTGCACTTCACATTCGTCATACGAATCGCTCTCATCGCCGTTCTGTGTCGCCATGGTGTTGGCGAAAAGGTATTGGTGGGAAGACGAGACGGTAAGACTACCTAATTTGTCCACGGTTGAGGCACTTGTTGGTTGATTGAGGGCGAAGAAAGTGTGATAAGAAGGTTGTAGAAAGTGTATAGAATGCGAAAGCTCCGTAGTGATATAATCCACCCAACGGCCAAGGCAGATGCTCTTGCTGGGTGTTGACGTTATGCCAAGCCTTACACATTCACCAGTGGTAGTGAATCGGTTTGCTTCGGTTTCCAGTTCGAGGTGTAGCTCTTTATGCCCACTATCGAGGTCAATGTTTCAAGGGGCTCAGGGCCTGATAAGGTGAGAAGGCGACGTTGCGAATGAGCAAGAAATGGCGCCGATGTAATGGTCGTGAAATATTGGACGCAAGCAGCATACTACTGAATCTTGTATACCCTTGAGGTGAATCTCTAGAGATGTCAATAAGATGGGTGGATGAGAAATACTGCGACAAAGAAAGCCTTCGACTTCCTCTTTCACCCGCCAGTGAGTGTCTCGCGATACAAGCGCGTTTCGCAGTAGTACCGCGCAGGCCACTCGCCATCAGATAGGCATTAGAACAATCGAGAGGAACAAATAGTAGTGTGTCTCAAAGCGTGGAGAGTGTTGGTGTCAACCCTGCTGACAAGCCCACCCGCAAAATCCCGCGCTCTCTGATTCGTCCACCTTTTCCCAGCGCCGCCAAGCCCAGCATTCCCGCGCTTTCTCTGCCGCATCAACCTCACCAGACATCACGCCAGACATCACCCTTCCACCCGCGTTTAAACCCCAACGAACTCGCCAAAGATGTCTGTCTCGTCCTTCGGCCACCACGGCAAGACGCCCGCTGCTGTCGTAAGTCGAGTCCCGTGCAATGGGGAATTAGAGGCGATGACGAAAGAAGAAGGAAGAAGCTAATGATTGGGAACAGAGCATGCGCAGCCCGTACAAGGCTTACAGGAGTCCTTTTGGTCCTCAGTATGTATTTTCCGATATCAACACGGCTGTGGGAGGGGTGGTGGGAGGGTTGGGACTGGGTTGGGGGAGGTGTGGGAAGGTGTGGGAAGAGGAGGATGACTTGAGACGCCTCGATGGACGGCGGTATGGGCAATTGGATGCCACGCATACGCTCGATATGCGCATAGAAAAGAGGAGGAACAACCCAATCCCACACCCGCGCCGCCGCTTATACCATCCACGCCCGTCGCAACCTCGAAGCTCCAGACACTAACATACAACCACTAGATATACCATCCCGAAGAACTACCACGGCCTCACCCTCAAGCAAGCCGCGAAATAGTATGTCTCCCCCCATTCCTCCCATACCTCCCTCCACCTCTCCATACATCCAACACGCACTAACCCCATCCCAGCGGTGGCCTCGCCGCCGGCTTCGGCGGTGTAGCCGGATTCTTCGCCCTCTTCTTCTTCGCCGAAGTCCCCAAGGTGCGCGACGACATCATGAAGAAGATTCCTATCCTGGACAAGTTCTTCACGGTTGAGATACCGCCTGAGGATAACCCTTTCTGAGCGCTTCCTTATTCGACGTGGATGAGGAGAAGGATGCATGGGTCGGGATGTATAATATGGCAATCGAGGGACAATTGGCTTTACTGCAGATGGGGAAATAGACCGCTTTTGTCTTTGTTAACTCGGTGCTTGGCTCAATGGCGAGAGCAGTGACTATGTACGTGATGATGTATTGACTCCAGGGCCCAATGAGTCAATGGCTTGAGACGTGATTCAACAGTACTTGTTCATCCACGGACCTGAACGTCAGACAAGCTTAGAGGCTCATTCAGCTTGCACGGTCGTTCGCCACTCATAGCTCGAGAACATTTGGTCATTGCTTCATTTTCGCGTGACTCGCACATCTATCAAGATGCTATCATATGCCATCCCATATACCACTTCCCCCAGCCATCCACTCATTCCCCCATCAATCGCTTAGTTCGTCGGCAGCCTTCCAACAACCTCAGCCATCTCCTCATCGGTGTAGATCCTGAAGCCCTTGTCCTTGGTTACACTAGCCAACTGCACATTCTTGCTATCCAGCTTCTCCTCCATGACCTGCTTGAGCGTCTTGAGCGTGAGCACCTCGGCCTCGGGGAGCGTAAGCGACTTGTGGAATTCGTTCTGGAGTTCGGCTTGGGCGCCCTCGGAACCGGAACCGATGGCTTTGGCGTCGTAGCGGTAGAATGTGCCCGAGGGCTCGGCGTGGTAGCTGTGTGCGTTGTTAGTTTGTAATTCCAATTCCGGTTCTAGAGCTGGGGATGTTGTAGGATGTGACATACAGACTCGGACCATCCTCATCATAACCCGCAATCAACAGCGCGACACCAAACGGCCGACTCATGATGCTCTCCTCACCCTCAGCACCCTCACCAAACCTCAGCGCCAAATCACATATCGCCTGCGTGCAGCTCTCAACGCGAAGTGGCTCGGCGTAGTTGAAAGCGTGGTTCTGGCTCTCGACACGCGCGTGCTCAATCATGCTGCGGGCATCGGCTTGCAATCCCGACATGGCACATCCGATGTGGCGGTCGATTTCGACAATCTTCTCTACGGAGCTGGTTTCTAGGAGCGTGGAGGTGACGCGCTTCTCTACGCCGAGGATTACGCCTTCGCCGGTCGCGACCTGTGTGTTGTTTATGAGTTTGTGAAGATTGGCGGTGGGAGGGTGGACATACGCCTATTGCTGTTGAACCGAGCTTGATGGCTTCGAGCGAGTATTCGACTTGGAAGAGACGGCCTTCGGGCGAGAAGGTGCTGTGGGTTTGTGAGCGGGCGGGCTTGTAGTGGGAGGCGCGGGGTGGACGAACTTGATACCACGGTCTAGCAAGTTCAGTTAGTATAGATTCTACTGTATAATTGCTCTGGGAAGCTTACCATATTCGCTTCGTGCTATGAACTGCTCATGTTAGTACAAGAGCTCCAGCGGGGTTCAATGAGGCGTACCATGGCGGCTGTTTGTGCGGAAGTGTAGTCGAGAGGTGCGGTGAGATGTTCGAGTGCGTCTCGAACAGGAAAGTCGAGATTGGGGGCGTATGGGCGGCGGTGAGGTGTTGCGGAGTTGTGTTGGCGGCTTAGATGATTCTCTAGCTAGAGCTTCAGGCAACATGGACCGCGACATCGCGCTAGGGCGGGATGCCAAGACTTCCATCTGATACTCATCATCACTTTCTTGACACAACTAGCAAATACATCTAAGTCTACAGTCACAATATTGCACCGATCTCCGAAAGCTGACACCTAACAAGCTATGGTGGATTTTCGCAATCGCATCCATCGACTGCCCTCTATCGCGACATCGTCTGCCACCTCCTTCCAGAGACTACCTAGGTACTGGAAAAGTAGCTCATCGTTTCTTGTCACCAAGCAATATTACGTCTGAGGCATTGTTACGAAAGATTTGATTCTCCCGAAGCGTTCTCTCCATTTCTGAACAAACGATTCGTTACTGCGTTCTGCGCAACTTCTGGGTAATACAATTGCAGTACTTAGATGCTTCAGAGCTTCAGAGTTGCATTTGATGTAGTTGTGGTACTACACCTGATAGCACCACCTGTATCGCAGTTCAGTCTCATCGAACTCATACTGTCAACTTTAACGGAGTAATCTAGGCCATACACGCATGAGGGTGAAATGATGAGATGTCTCAGTACCCGTCGTGCGGCCAGGTAAAGTCGCCTGGCTATGCAAATACTCCGCGTAACGTCAACGCAGGTACCTGCTCATGCCAGAATTACATCGTCCCTAATTTCGGAGAGGTTCTCGTTGGGTACCGTGCGCGTGGCTGGACTTCCGATAGAACACGGGAATGTCTGCAAGCGACCTCACAGCCACGATATCCACCCGTTATCTCCCAGATTTGTCGATGTCGCAGAGTGCTCCGAGTGCCTGATCGATTAACCAAGCTTCCATCGACATATCGAAGCTGTGGTAAGGGTAAGGCTTAGCGTACCGGTTCGTGACATTTGCGCATGGCGCCGGGACGAAACGCCTTCCAAGACACCAAGCCGCTGGAGTAATTCTCCGCATCCTCTACCTTTCCAACATCAACTTCGCTTCTTTGCCTGAACTTCAAGTTCTTGCCTTCCGCATCCGCGGATCGAAAGCCGATGATGCGCGTCATAGCTCAGATCGAAAGTGCCTGGCGTCGGCACCGTTTCTCCTGAGTTCGGACCAGCAGCGCTATCCACGTCACCATATTCTGGAATCTCGGCCTGCGACCATGATGGATGGTGCATTCAGTGCTGTCAACAACGAGCTCACAACCACGGTAGTGCGCAACGCCAACGGATGACACGGGGACATGTGTCTACCATACACACGCATGAGGGTGTTGCACTCGTGTTAATGAACAAACTATTGACCTGGACAGCCACACAGATGCCGACGATTTTCGATAAATCCGCGTGTGCCATGTTGCACGCACATCATGAGATGTGCAGCTCATCTCCCGCGGCGGGGATGATGTCGATGCTGGGTTATTTTTATCCGGATACGACCCTATACCGGGGCTTGACGTCGCTGTCTGGCCGTTGAGTATTGCTTCTCCACATGGGCCAATGATTAGCGAGGACGGGGCGAAAGGGTCGTTCCCTGTCTTGCCGCATCGGGCCTTCTAGAATGCTTGGTGAGCTTCAACAGTCGACGACTGCGATGAAAGCAGCAACATACGAAGGATGCGAATGTTGGGGATGGTTTGAACAGGCTGTTGTTGAAGAGCCTGCATGCCAAGATTGCTTGACCAGGCTTCAGGGTTGGGATCACCGCCGGCATCCGCGTTCCTGCGTGCCTGCTCGTTCGAGAAGGCACTAATTAGCTGTGACCGTGCGGCTAATGCACGTCCGATGAATAGCCTTCAGACTGCAGCGACGTCTAGATCCAGCAAAACGTCACCGGCGAATAAATACTTCGCTGCGTCCTGCTCACCATTCCTCGCCCACGCCGCTCTCTCGCACCCTTCTCACTTCTCAAGACTTCATTCTACGCTTTTAATATCGTCTTCTTCCTCCTAATACCAACATCATGCGCGTCTCCTCCACCATCCTCGCCGCTGCAGGCCTCTTGACCTCGGCCAACGCTGCCATCAAGGGTTTCAACTATGGCGCCAACTTCAACAACAACCAGGCCAAGGTGCAGGCCGACTTTGAATATGAATTCAACGCCGCCAAGCAGCTTCCTGGCACCAATGGATGGACCAGCGCCCGTCTGTACACCATGATCCAGCACGGCACCCAGACCGACGTCATTGAAGCCATCCAGGCTGCTATCAACACCAAGACCGGTCTCCTCCTTGGCATGTGGGCCTCCGCCGGTCAGGCCAACTTCAACAACGAGATTACTGCTCTCAAGGCCGCCATTGCTCGTTACGGCACTGCCTTCACTGACCTCGTTGAGGGTATCTCCGTTGGCAGTGAGGATCTCTACCGTGTCACCCCCACTGGTATCGAGAACAAGTCCGGCGCCGGTGCTCAGCCCCAGGAGCTCGTCAACTACATCAAGCAGACCCGTGATGCTATCCGCGGTACTGCTCTCCAGGGCAAGCCCATCGGTCACGTCGACACCTGGACTGTCTACGTCAACGCTACCAACAACCCCGTCATTGAGGCCGTTGACTTCATCGGCATGGACGCCTACCCCTACTTCCAGACCACCATGAACAACAACGTCGGTTCGGGCAGCCAGCTCTTCTTCGACGCCTACCACCAGACTGTTGCCGCTGCCAAGGGCAAGCCCGTCTGGGTTACCGAGACCGGATGGCCCGTTAGCGGCGAGACACTCAACCAGGGTAAGCCCAGTGCGGATAATGCCCGCATCTACTGGGAGGACGTTACCTGCCAGCTCGTCAAGGACAACGTCAACCTGTGGTACTACATCCTCCAGGATGTCCAGTACGGCAACCCCGTCCCCTCGTTCGGCATCAAGCCTGCGGGTGACCTGATGCAGGTGAAGCCTCTGTTCGACCTTTCTTGCCCTGCTGGTTCCGCACCCAGCAACCCGTCCAAGAAGGTCTCTACCGATGGTACTTGCGGTTCCCAGGGAGGTGCTACCTGCGCTGGCTCGCCATTCGGTAACTGCTGCTCGCAGTACGGATGGTGCGGAAACACTGCCGGACACTGCGGTACCGGTTGCCAGAGCGGATCGGGCACTTGCACTAAGGTAAGCTAGTACCTTCCAATGCTCCTCTTGTCACCCATTCTCGCGTCGATCCTATATACTTTGTCTGCGCTCTTGTCTGTTTCTTGCAATTGCCTTTGTTCCGTCTCTGCCCCGTACGGGGTTGCACGGACTAATGGCCATTGGAAGGAGCCTTCGAGCAGCAGCAGTATTGGAATGTCAACGGGTATTGGGTCGACGAGTAAGAGGGCTGAGGAATTCTTAAACCAGACGGTCAGAAGCTAACATCCCTCAGTAAATGCTCCGACATCCCAGCCCACAATTGTCACCATTCCAGTAATTAGCTTTGATCGCCCGACCCCAACAGCTCAGAGTTCAGCTTCGCTTTCCGCTCCGTCTACCCGAATTGGTCTTGAGAATATCGAAGGCCTACCGCAACCGACCTTTACCCCTCTTCAAGAACCATTCGAATAACCCAATCAGCTCATCCCCATTGATAAGGCCGACCCTACCAAGGTGATCGGCAACGGATACACTGCCCAGCTATCACCTACCATATCAACCGTCTTCGTTTACGACATCCGTCCTGAGTTCGCCGGCAAGACTTGCACTTTGGCTCTACACATGCCCCCGCCCTTTCCCCTACCCGAAACAGCACCCGTTCAAATTCGCACTCCGGGCGGTATCAGTGTATCCCGCCTCGCCAACCAAGTCCCCGATACTGTGTCTATGCAGAGTGTCGGTAACTCTAGTCTCGTCGGTGTTGCACAACTCATCGAGCCTGCACGTCAATACAACGTCGCTAGTTTTCCCTGTGAAGCTGGTCAACGGGTTAGTTACCAGGTGGATTCGATCAATGGGCTCGACATGAATTGGTTCCAGATGACGTATCCTGCTCTCGGGCTGTTTATGCTGATTAGCTGAATTGGATGGAGGTTGTATGGAGTGGTGGCAACGTGGAAGACTGGGATGTCGACTGTATTATTACGAACCTAAAAGTCCTAGATCCTTTTAATGTAATGTATACACCAAGTATACGTATCTTGATTATGTCGTCGTGTGATGTGCTACTGAACTGTATCGTACTTAACCAATGCGTTCAGTGTGAGACGGCTCAGTAGCATATCATAAGGGGATATGGGCATGAGCGTAAACCAACTACACATGATTCCCTCGCATCCCGTGTAGATGATCAAGAGATGAGATAGCGCAAGACGTAGCCAACCGCGAAGTGTGTCATGTAAAAAGTGAAGAGCGAAGAGCGACATGCGACATTGAAATACGAGATACCTCAGATGAGGTTAGCCTGGCCGACGCTGAGATAAATACCTAAGATTGTACCCCAACAAAACAAAAACGCGAAAGACCTGCCTGCAGCCACCACCAATTTCCCACCCAAACCTTCCAAACCTTCTACACCCAGCACCATGCGCTTCACCACCCCCATACTCATTCATCTCGCGTTCCTCAACATAGCGTCAGCCCAAGGATGCCCCGACGGCGGCACAGCATGCGGATATTATGGTACACTCTGCTGTACCAGCGACGAAGTCTGTATGACAGACGCGGATAATCAGGCTGTTTGCGAGGTTCCTGCTTTTGCTAGTTCGGTGCCCGTGGTCAACTCAGATCTTACTACTATGATGTCGACGATGGTGGTTAGCACGGATACTGCTACTGTGACGCTGATACCGACGTTGAGCTCGACGCAGGTCACGATCGCGGAAAGTCCTTCGTCGATGTCTGGGACGGGGGTTAGGGATCCGAGTGAGACTGCGCTGAGCACGCTGGCTGGTATATTGCCAACTTCTAGCATCACGCAGAGTGCTGATGCGAGTGGTGCGGAGTAGACGGTGTCGACGAGTTCGGCTGGTGCGTCTGATATGTCTGATGCGCCGGCTTCGACTTCGACGGGGGCGGGTGGAAGGGTGGGAAGGAGTTGGTATGGTGTTGTGGGAGTTGGTGTTGTTATTGCGACGGTCTTGACGGTTTGAGTGATGGAAAGAGATGGAGGATGAATGTCAGGGTCCCACGACCGTACGATGTCATCCCCAGAAGTCGAGGCAACTAATTCAGCTACGTAGACTTCTTTTGCGCAAGGTATGTTGTTACTCCTGGGCTGCAATCTTGCGACCCTTCGCCAGACCGTCCAATTCAAATTGGGGCATCGCTAGGGAACTCTCCTCCAGACCGTCCGATCCAGATCGCGGCACCGCCAGGGAATCCTTCCCACCTTCAGAAGCTTCCCAGATCTTCTCGATTTGGTCTTTCGTCTTATCAAAGCCCATTTGAAAGTTGTCCATAGCAAGCTTGTACCCGACAAAGTTCACCATTGTTTCCTCCTTGATCATTCCATTTCCGGCGTCCGTATGGGATCTGACATCGTATAACTGCCCATCTCCCCACTCCTCCTCATAGTCTCCCGCGCCGCTGTCGTATTCCAATGATCTCTTGAATTTCTTACGGAAGAACTCTAGATCGTTGAGGAGATGTGCCATGATCTCCTCTTGCTTTCGCACGATGTCGAGGGAGCCGGCAAGGGTCTTGGCATGGGCCGTTTTGGAGAGTGTGGCTGGCAGGCCGTCGTCTGCTTGTCGGTGGTCAGTTCGATTGGAGGTCATCTCGTTTCTCGACTTGGAGGTCTCCAGGTATCGTTAGTTGAGATCGTGCGAGAGAAAGGCAATAAACCACAGACTGCAGCTAGTTACCCCACATCTTGTGTAACATGTCGCCAAGTCTTTCACCCATGGCGATAGTGCACTAATATACTTATCAAAGGACCTTCGCGGTGTCATTTCCGTCGCCATCACTTGATGCAGGATTTCAGAGAAGGACTTGTTTCGGCGTAGGCATACCAGGTTGCTGCTTCAGTCTATCTCGGTAGTAAGTCAACTCGCAATAACACCAGATAATAGATGATTTACAATCGATCGTGATTACCCAATGCATGCTTGCACCTTCCCGATGCTTGCTCAGATCCCCACCAATAGCCGGCCACTACACGAACGTCATTGCAATTTGGCAGCGACTGTAGCTTCCCATACACATAAAACATTGTGCGCGAATGCCCAGACGGAACGAAGCTTCTCAACATATCATGTAAGCTGCGTGGCACAAATGGTCCATCATTCTTACCTCGTAGGGCGCGGCTGCAGAATAAGCCCGCCACCTGGCCGCCGATACCCGAGGCGCAAAACCCAGTCATACCCGGGCATCCGCCCACCACCAATTCCTGCGCCATCCGTTGTATCACCCTATCATCTATAACTCTTATCCCATTACCATGGACGACTCCGCTACTGGCACAGGCCAACAGGATGCCAATTCGGCGTCCGCAAGCAAAAAGCGGACCCACCCCGAGGACTTCAAGCGTGCATATAAGGCTTGCATCAACTGTCGTCAACGCAAGGCAAAATGCATCCTGGGTACGGGGCCAGATGGTGGTGAACTAAAGCCACCATGTCAGCGATGCAAGCGGGAGATGCGCGAGTGTGTGTTTCGCTCCGAGAGAAGCTGGGTTAAGAGACGTAAACCGGGGGAAGCGGCGCGCGAGGGCGAGGAAGACGATGAGGCTGTTCATGATCGCCCTCAGTCAAATCCTGCGCCAAACGTGCAGCCCTCGCCAGCTCATAGGTCGTCCATATCGACGCATGGTTTCACGCCGGGGACTAGTCCGCATGTCAACGGCACGAATCGCGCTGAGTTTCAGTCACCTCATGGGCATCTTCGCAGGATCTCGTCGAGCCAGCCGGATCTTGCGCATTCGGTTATGCGGACCGTGGTCTCGAGTGGGAGCGATGCGTTGAATTTGCTTTTCGAAGCTGCGCACCACCGCGATGCTATCGATAGCCAGGAACAGTCGGGCTCGCAAGCATATGAGACTCCTAGGTCGGGGCCATCGGGCTATGAGGGTGTTCCGTCGTCGCCGTTCCATACCTTCAGAGCGCAGCCGGTGCAGATGTCGACGCCGTCACCAGAGACGCTGAAGACGTGGACATCGTGTCGGTTCGTGCAGATGGGCTGGTTCTCCGCGCATGAGGCGGTCACCTACGTTGATCTGTTCTTCAAGAACTGCTCGCCGTTGTCGCCAATACTGGGAGAGTTCTACTCTCATCATGAGAATCACTACACGCTGATTGCGCTGGATCCATTCTTGTGCACTACCATACTTATGATTTCATCTAGGTACAACATTCTTCCTGGTGTAGGTGGCGCATCCAGAGGTTACTTCGTGCACGACAGGCTTTGGGAGCAATGCCAGCGCTTCATCATGAAGATCATGCTCGGACAGGTTAAGCCATCCAAAGCGCAGAGTCGGACGATCGGATCCATAGAGGCGCTTCTCTTGCTATCCGAATGGCACCCTCGCGCGCTGCATTTCCCCACTGCTGCTGATGGCTGGGATTGCGAGCTCATGATCGGCGCGAACAACACCACAGAGGAAGGCGCGAAGCTGTTGGAAGGAGATGTAACGTCCAACCGATGGCTTGAAGATGTCATTGAGCCCGCAAAGCGTTCCGACCGTATGTCATGGATGTTGATGGGCTGCGCGCTGTCACTGGCACAAGAACTGGGTCTCTTTGAAGACAACGCTAGAATCGACAAGGACCAAGTCTCCTACCCAAAGTTTACGACGGAGTACCTCATCTTACGGAGGATTCGGGCTCGGAAGCTACTATACGTTTTGCTCGAACAGCTTTCATGGAGGCTCGGTTGCACATCGATGATCCCGCAGAGTCTTAATCATGCTCTGATGGAGAAGATACCAGTCGACTCTGCGACTGGTGCGGTCGAGCAATGGCAGTCGTTCATGAGCGCCTGGGTCGAACTCACCAAGCTCGCGCGCTCAATCTCAGACACCATCTACCCAAACACCGCCACAACACGAAGCTTACTACGCACTGGTCGCTACATCGGGCTGCTCGAACACTTCCAGCCACTACTGGTATCATGGCGGAAGAAGTACCTCGACCCATGCAAGCTCAAAGTCGGCCTCCACGACATGCTCCACATCGAATACCAATACGTCCGCATCTACACCAACTCCCTCGGCATGCAAGCCGTCGTCGAGCGTACACTCGCTGAAACCGATCCCGATGTGCCGCAGGAAGATAACCTTCCCTTCAACCTCGAGCCGCGAGACTACGACTTCATTCAAGAAGTCGTCGACGGAAGCTGCCAGATCCTGCAAAAGGTCTGTCAGCTTTCTGAAACAGGGGCGCTGCGGTACTCGCCTGTCAGGATCTTCTTGCGGATAACGACTAGCTCAATTTACCTGATCAAAGGGTTGAGTTTGGGGAGTCGGAATGCGAAGTTGCAGAGCTGCTTGGACATCCTGGATGCCGCGATTAGAGCTCTTCGCGCGAGTAAACCGCAATCTCTCCCCACTACTGTCGTCTACTAATGATACATCTCAGGTACTCTCGATGACATGCACCTCGCATCCCGTTACGCCACTCTCCTCGACCTGCACGTCGCCCGCCTCCGCGAATCCTTCGTCGTGTCATCCCGCCCACCCCGCCTGCCCTCGCGCGCAACATCCACCCCTCACAATACCTCACATAACACTTCACACGCGGCCTCTGCCTCCGCAACAGAAGGCATGGCGTTCTTGAACAATCATAATGCGGGCCAGTCTAGCTTGTCGAGCCTAGCGGAGAATGTAACGGGGCTTATGCCTGATATGCCGGATGATGATTGGTTGGCGCTGCCTTTTGATCCGGCGATGGCGCCGTTTGGGTTGGATGGTGGGTTGCAGGGAGGGTTTCAGGGGTTTGATGATGGGACGTTGGATTTTATTTGGAATTTGCCTATGTAGGGGTGGTGGATGAGGCGGGTGTGGTGGGTGTGGATAGGACATGGGAAACTGTACAGGTCTTGCGACTACACGCTTCAGGCGTGTTGGGGTTTGCTCCTCAAAGAGACGGGTGATAATGGAACGTTCCAACCCAAGTTTTAGACAATTTCGTCATAAAGAATAGGATATTGGAGCAAACCCTACACCCAGAACGCACACATAAAAGAGTGCGCCCACGTCGCTCACTCTTCTCAACCATCACCACAAACTCACTCATCCATCGCACAGCCAAGCGTATCCATTTCCACAGACAGCCTTACCCAATATGCCAGCAACGTTCACCGACCTGCTCTCCGCATTTATCGCAATCACCATCACGATCCTTGCTACTATCGCTGTCCAGGCGAAAGCCGACGGCAACTCATACGCGCTTATCATGCACAAGGTCAAGACCGCGCTCGTCATCCTCTTGCCGAACTTTGCCGTTCTCCTCATGGTCTGCTGTCTCGTTCCGGGGGTCCTGCGACAGGATGACTAGCTTGGGCGTCGCACGGTATCGGTAGGCTCACTGTGGGAAGGAGTGGGGGTACGGGGAGAGGGGTTTATAGAAGGCTGTATTGATCTAGGCGGTTGTATAAGGGGGGAGGGAAGGGGATTTGGGTGAAAGGGCTAGAGATGCGATGTATGTACACCGTTTGGTCTTGCAGTGTTGATAACCAGAAACATCTTATGGAAACATTAGTCGATGTAAGACTAACCGTAGTATATCGTATCCGGGTGATGAACGAGGTACATGTGAATGTGTCATGGAGGACTATACATCAGCCGACTCTCTCCAGAGAGTCTTCTAGCTCTTTCCCGAAGAGGTTGTGTTGGCGGAATTCAGAAAAGAGAACAAGAAACTCACCGGCTGCATCAGTGCTTCCTCGTGGGTTCTGTTCCAGTGGGTATCAAACCACGAAGGGGAGTAGCAAACTCGACATCACTCCAGCAGAAATACCATACCATTACAATCCCTTCAAAATCCAACGCCCCACCTCCCCAACCCCCAAGCCTCCATGTTCTCATACCCATCCCCCGATTTCGCCCTCCTAGCGCTATCCTGCTCAGGTCTCATTCTACTGCGCATCCGTAAGCCCCTCAAGATCATAGGGCTTCTTGCCTGCATGTCTATCTACCACATGCGCGGCGACAACCACGATAGCTGCGTGATTAACGCGCTCCAAGCATGCGACTACATCGTTCCTCACTGCGCTGCGAAGACGGAAACGTGCGAGGAGTTTCATGGATGGGATGGATTGGTTGATGAGGAGGGGTATCTGGCGCATTGTGGGAGCGAGTGTTAATGACATCGATGCACGATTTTGCCCTGAGTTACCCATTAATCCCTCTCAAGCTTGTTGTTACTTTGTCCAGCTCATCTCGCATCGATTTCACATCAACGCGCACCATTCTAAAACACTTGCGCTTCCCAAAGACTCCTTTTTAATGTTGTCTTCTCTACTTCAGCTTTCAAGACTGACATCGCCGATACCATCGTCAAAGTCGAAGAAGTGGAATCGCTTCTCGTCCTCCTCATCCACTTCTGAATCGTCCTTCAGAATATTGATATCGAACCATTCCATTCCTCCATGGTCGCGTTGTCCCACATTCCCGCACCTGGTCTTTCGGCGCGCATGTTCCTCGGCTCTTTTCCTTCCGCCAAACATCGCAGTATATATCGATAGCACTGCGCAAGTTACCACAAATGCCACGCATAGTACGATATAAGCTTTGAACTTCGTAGGCCCGTCGAATTTCGGCTTTTCGCTGACGTAGGTAGTTTTGTCGAGTTGAAGCATGTAGATTCCATCTACTACGAAGTAGACCAGAAATAGCGGTGCCATGCAAGTGACGAACATGACTATGATAGTTTGGA